CGTCGTGCTTTTCGCGAATGTCGAACGCCGTAGTGCTAGAGAAGTTGGGTCCCAAGCCTCTGTCCGCAATTCAGAATGACCGCCGAACGCAACTTTATAGAAATAGTTCGTCGCGCAACGAAATTTCATTACTTGAGCAACTGGTGTGCGACGCCAGCGGTGGCCTTAGAAATTTGGTTCCCGAGCGTGGACGCCGAGGTCGTCCGAGACAACAGTGGGCACGATGTGTGTCTGCGATGGCGCACGTGCGTAGTCTGTTGGGTGCGATCTATTTTCTTCGCCGTGCAGTGCACGGAACGGAATGATACGAACGCGCGCATTGCTTGTATCAGCCCTCCCCGCGTGACGATAGAGTGGCCGCTGAGACCCGCGAGAAGGGCAAGGTCGACGGCAAAGGCCGGGAGAAGGACTGCTACGACAAGAAAGCCGCGCCTGCGTCCTCATGGGGCAGGAAAACGGCGGAATGATTGTCGCTGAGGGCCCCAGCTGGTGTGCAGGCGACTGGCTGGAGTGATGATCGCGGTCGAGGGGCTTCCAAGGCGGTGCCGGAGGAGACCGGCGGGCTGCGCGAGCTGCCGAGCACGGCGCCTGGCGCCGTGCTGGGCCCGACCCCCTTGGTGGCGACGCCGATTGGGTCTGGCCGTATCCGCCAGTGCCGCGTGCTCACCGCGGACTGAAGAGATTCTGGGCGCCATCACAGTCGGGTCCATCGTCTGGCTTTACGCGAGGCGGCGATGTCTGCGAGGCTGGGGCGATTGCCCGACAGGCGCCCGCGCCGTGAATGAGCTGGTGAAGGATGTGGCCTTGTCCTACCTGGTCTTCAAGCAAAAGGCTACCCGCGAAAGTTTGCGTGCCGCGGTGGTGGGCGAGCCCCTGGATCCCAGGTAGGTCTTTATGTTGGACGCCCCGAGCCCCGAGGGGGTCTCTATTTTCGCTAGTGTGTGCGATTTTGTTGCTGTGCCAGAGTCCTGGGGCCCATTTATAGATGCATGATTTGGAGCAGCATTTCGGTTTCGTCTGAGGTTTTGAGGTGGAGTACGCGCGCTAGTGTCAACGTGGGGATATGGCCCCCAACTTGAAATATGGTTTCAGAGAGATTTTGCGGGGCTATCCGTGGTGCCCCAGAAAGGGCCCCAAGAAACATCGTAATATCATCATGGCCTCTGCTTATCTGGTTCTGGGAAGTCCGCAAGAGAGTGGAGCGTGGTCTCCGCGGTGGGGCTGTTTCGCCAGTTTGCACGCGCCCGGCGATTTCTTGAGTACTGCCGTGCTTGACGAGAGCAACGCCTTCACCTCCATGGAGGTTCCCGAATGGACGTGGGCCTGGCAGGCGGCCCCGCCTGTCCTCGCTGGCTTGGTCTGGGAGGTGTTGCTTGGGGAAGTCCGAGAGACGGCGCGCGCCTCCGATGGGATCCGCCCCTTGTGGCGTCGCCTGCTCATGGGGGACCCCGCAGCGTCCACATCCTAATGAATATCAACATGACCTGCTCAGGTCGGGCTCTGGTCCGCAGCTGCGGTCTATGGAGGGTGGCCAGCCGATTCGCAAGAACGACAAGGGTTGGGGCGTCGCCGAGAATGTCGGGGAGTCTGGGAAGCCAAAGGAGGAGTTCGAGGGCCCCGAGGATGGGTTCACCGTCGAGCAGTGGGTTCAGAGGGTTTGTGGGGCCAAGGAGGGGTCCCCGAGGCTTTCGTGGGAATGCAGTTATTCGCGGGCCAACGTCGGCCTGGTGATTTTGAGGAGTGGTCCAGCCCTTGGCGGCCGAGCCAGGGCCCCCCCGCGGGGCCCCCCGCGGGGCCTCGCGTTTCCTGACCTGAGACCTTCCAGCAGCTGCAGGGGCTGGTAAAGTTGCGTTGCGTGCGCGCCGTCGTGGGCACCCGCTTTGTTTTGCTTGGTCCAGGGCTCGGTTTGTCATGTTGCTGGGGGGGGGGGGGGGGGGGGGGGGGGGGGGGGGGGGGGGGGGGGGGCGGGCAGCTCCAGTTGCCGGGCAGGTGCCTATGGGGCCGGCTTGGCTTGGGGGGCTCGCAGGGCCCGAGAGGGCCCGACTCCACGAGCCCAACCTGTTGCGCTTCAAGTGATTGACCCTCTGCGAGGGGGTGCCCGCTCGAGGGGGCGCCCATGTGCGCGAGAAGTCGGAGGGCAGCGGGGATTATCCATATCCATTTATGCACGGCGCGTCCGCGATGTGCACCGCGTAGCAGGCGCCGCGCGAGTCAGCCTTGATAGGCGCGCCTTGGGTGGGCTGGCCAGGGGGGCCACGGCGCTGTCAGGTGCCGCCGATGGCCTGTGCGATGGCGGGCGCTCCTGTGATGGGAGGCGCCAGCGTCAGCAAAGCATTGGGCGGTTGCCCGAGGAGGGGGGGGGGGGTAGATTTGGTGTCGCACGGCAGGCCACCCCGTCTTGCCTGGCCGCTTCTCGGCGTCGCGCGCGATGCGGAATTTCCTTCGCGCGCGACGAGGGGGGCCGACCGCCTGCCGATTATGCGGGGCCTCTCGCTGTGCTCCGCTTGTCTTAGTGACCGTGGCCCCGCGGCCAGCGGGGGGAGAGGGCTCCGCGTGCTCGGCGGGGATAGCGCCAATATGTAGAGAAGAAGCGCCGACTCTGCGCATCGATGACGGCCTCTTGATGCCCGATGGGGCCGTCCAGGTGGGCCTCGGTGGGGGCCGCCATCAATTGCGTGCGTCGGCCCGCCGACGAGTTATTTCAGGTCGGTCTCGAAGTCGCCGACCGCAGGGGGTCTGGGGAGATGGGCGAGGTCGCGGGCCGCGAGGTCCAGCGGCGCCCCGCCAGGCCCAGGCTCCCCGCTGGGAAGGACGCCGCCCTGTGCGAGGCCATGCTCTTCTTGGAACAGCGCTCGCGGGTTGCCCTGGAGGCCGTGTCGTTGCAGCTGGAGGTCTGGACATGGGCGGCCTTGTTGCCCGTCGCTGGCTCGTTGCACCCGGGCGCGTCTTCCGCTTGGCTAAATAGAGGTGAAGGGCTGGGGGGCCCTGGAGGCTCACGCCGTCGGTGGCCTAGTGCCCGCGAGGAATGGGGTGCAGGCCCATGGGGCCCAGCGCGGAATTCGGGGCGCCCATTTCGAACGTGGACTACGCCGCGGGGGCCGAGGGGTCGAGCGGCCTCGACTGGACTGCGAGGGCTGCGGGATCGTCGCCGCCGTCGCGTCGGGCCAGGAAGCCAGGCTGCTCTGGGAGTCGGGGGCCAGGCCAGGTTTCGCGCTGGCCCGCCTGGGCCAGGACCAGCAGGTGCTCGATTGGGCGTCTCGTTCCCTGGCCCCTTCTCCTCCCGTCAGCTCCGCCCCGAAGGGGATCTGGAAGGTGAGCAGGCCCCGGGCCCCTGTCGCAGCAGGCAGATGGATACGGGGGGGGGCGCCGCCATCGGGGGGGTGAGGGCGGTCGTCCTGTTGCTGGAGAGGGTTGTCCAGGTCGAGGGGTTCCTCCGTTCCAAGCCTGTCTCCATGGGGGGTCATTTGCCTTGCTCGCATGCCAGTGCCAATGTGGGGTCATCAGCGGGGCCCTTCAATTTCCGCCAGCGATGTGACCCCCTCTTCCGATGAAGCGATAGCGCTTCTGGCGCCCTGGAAGCGTTACCTCAGCACCAGGAGGCGCCCCTTGGATTCCAATTGGGTCCAAATCGGCTCCTCATGTGATTGCAATAGTATTCCCATTCGTCGTCGTCGTCTTCGTCGGCGTCGGCGTCGGCGTGGACTCCGATTCGGGTCATGTTGGAGTCCTATTGGAGTCATGCTGTATTGGAATTCGATTGGCATCTTATTGGAGTCCGGATGGGATTCCCGCAGTGCTGGAATCCAGTTCAAATGGGATTCCAATATGACCCCAAAGAGTACAATACAATAGGCTCCCAGTCGGATTCCAATCGAGTTCTAAGGTGATCCAATTAATATTCTAATACAATGCAATACAGTAGGATCCCAATAGGATCCTAATTCTAACCCAATAGGATTACACTCGGAGTTCAGTGTGATTCCAATGATATCCCACCGTATTCTCATATGATTACAACAGGGCTCCAAAGCAATACAATGGGTTCCCAATGCGACTTCGACAGTTTTCGTATAGGTTTCGACAATGATTCCTTCCGGAATCCACCCAATACAATCGGACTCCAATAGGCGTCCCACACCGCAGGTTTCCTATAGGATTCGAGTTTAATTCCAATAGAATTGGATTCCAGTAAGATTTCAGTAGGACCCCAATGTGAGTCTAATGCAATAGGATTCTGGCAGGATCCCAAATGACATTCCAATAGTTTCCCAACATAATACGACCCCCAGAGAATTCCAATGTAGAATTTCAATCGGATCCCAACAAGATCCGATCGGATTCCAATGCAATAGGATCTCAATGTAGAATGCCAATCGGATTCCGATACACTCGGGTTTGAATAAGAAACCGATGACAGCCCACTACGGTTCCAATGTAACAGGATTCCAATGGGCCAGTGGGATCCAATGTGATTCCAACAGGGTTTCAATATCGTTCCAATACAATCGGGTGCGGTCGTGCGCCAATCGGATTCTTATTCGCAGTTGTTTTTATCCGTGGTCTTATCAGATGTTCATTACATGTTTGTTCGTACTATTATTCGGGGGCGGAGCGGGGGGGGCGGGGCGCGGGCATTTTTTCCGCGCGCGCGGTGCGCCGAGAGATCGCTCCGTGCGGGGTGGGGGCGATATCTTCGAATTCCCCCCCCGCCCGACGCTCGGGGCGTCCGGGCCTATGCATGGGGGCAGCGAATTGACGTTCATAGGTTCAAGGCGTGCGGCAGTTGTCCATTTATAAGTATATATATTTTATATGATGCCAATAGGGTGTCAACGCGATCCCAAACTGAAGCCATCCTAGTGGGTTTCTGAGAGGCCTTCAGTAGGAGCCCAATGGGATTCGAATCGGATTCCAGTACAACAGTACTATAGCAGCCCTGGGGGCCCCTAGCGAGACCGTCAAGGGGGGGGGGGTCGACATCTCGCCGCGTGTCTACATCGATGTGGTTCAAGCGTTTCATGTGGGAACGACTCTACGCGCGGCTGGTCTCCAGTCAGCCCTAGATTGGGCGGCCCGAAACTGGCGTCGGGTGTCCCGGGCCGCGTTCGTTGGGGGCGTCCGAGGCGAGGGGTCCAAGGCAAAGGCTGCCCTTTGGGCGGGGGGTCCGAGACGGGCCGGGGCTTCGCGAGCCCTGGGGCATCGCCAGCGCGGCCGCCAGCCTCCCCGCTGCAGGTGCCGCGGGCAGCGACCCCGCCGCTCATGGGCGGGCTGGGCATGGACCGCCCCCGAGCTGTGCCGCCGGTGCCGCCGCGGCCCGAGCAGCCGCGGCAGGTCGCCCTCCTGCTGCAGCCGCCGGGGCCGAAGCTTTTCGGGGCAGTCGAGGCCGCCAAGTCGCCAAGAGACCAGTTTGGCCCGAGCCTGGTGCGCATGGGCTGCTGGCCTTCGAAGATGATCCCGGGCGGGGCGGGGTGATCGTCGGCCTGCCGTCAGCGTTGTTCCCCGGCGCCGTTCGGGGCCTGGCCCAGGAGGCGGGGTCGGCAGCGGGCGAGATGGTGGCGGCGGGAGCTGACGTCGGCACCGGCGCCGCCAAGTTCGCGTCGGCATTCGCCGGCGGCTCCGTCGGAGTGGTTGAGGCAGCGTGGCGAGGCATGTGCCTACTGGGCGCGGACATCGCGGGCAGCTCCGGCCGCGTCTTTGTCGTGGGCAAGGATCGCCGGGCAGATTTGGGCAGGAAGCTTTGAGTGAGCTCGAGTGTTTGTTGCTCTGTGCTCGTCCAGCCGCCCTCGTGATAGATTTCGTTTCTTTTCAGTGCAGCTTAACCAGCTTGCGAGCTTGCGGGCCCGCTGGCTTCCCAGCGGCCGCGTCGGGATTGCCCGCGGGGTGGTCGCCGTGATCTTTCGCGCTCAGTGGGCGGACCCGCTTCGGGGATCCTTGGCGCCAGTGATTTAGTCGAGGCCCCGAGCGTCGCCGACGGGCTTCAGCATTTGGCCGTTTAATCAAGCACTTCAAGTGGCGACGATTTTCCCCCTCGCGAGCAGGGCGCGAGGGGCAGGCGTGCGTGGGCACATGCGTCGGACGTGTTCAGGAAACAACAGAGTTGGCAGCAACCTGTCTCGCCAATCAGTCTAGTGGGCAGGGCCCCAACCATAGTGCTGAAATGGTTTCATGAGCTTGCGAGTGGTATCTTCTGGTGAGCAGGATGGGGCTGCGGGGTGGGGGCAGAAGATGTGCGTTGTCGCGCGTGCATGCTCAAGTGCGCCCCTTCCGTGGCTTTCGGCTGCTGAGGCTTTTGACGCCCCTCTTCTCGCCTCGCCCTCCCCTCTCGCGTTCCTACGCTCTGGGCATCCACCATTCGTTCCTGTGGAAGTCCGTTTTTCAGGCGTTTTTGAATTTAAACTGGGTCTTTCTTTCTGGCCCCGAATGCGCAGAGCGTGAGGGGCAGGCGCGCATAGACGCGCATCAGAAGTCTTGGGAGAACACCGGGGCTGGGAGCAAAGTGTTTCGCCCGTAAGTCCAGTCGGGTGGACCCCGGCCTGGGCGCTGGCAAATTCTTGTAGCGTCGCGCAACCCCCGCAGCCCATCCGGGGAAGATGCCCTGAGGAGTTGCCTCATCAGGGAAGTGGGCAGCGCGCAGAGGAAAGGCTCCCCCTGGAGCGCTCTCGGGCCACTCTTTGGCGCTCTTGGGTGCCTCGGGGGGCCTCTTTGGGCCCCTTGGGGGTCTTTGGGGAGCCTCTTGGAGGCCTCTCGGGCGCGTCTTCGGGCATTTTGGGCGCCTCCTGGGCTTCTTTTGAGGCGCTCTTGGGGGCCTTGGGGGCGCTCTTGGGGCCGTCTTGGGAGATCGATCAAACATGCGGGAGTTGTAATTGCGACCACCCCGTAGGGCCCCCCCCCGAATCGCCTTTTCTGCCCCTCTTGGGGCGCTCTCGGGGCGCTCTTGGACGCTCTTGGGCCGCCTTGGGGCTCTCTTGGGTCATTGGTATCTCTCGTGGCCTTCATGGGCCTTCTTGGAGCTGCCTTGAGGCCCCGGGAAACCATGGACAGCGAAAAGGCGAGAATTCAACAATCATTGATTTTTTGTACTTTTGTGCGGATTTGGCCTCTTGGCGGTCTCTTGGGGGGGCTCCGTGGCCACGCGGGGCAATCTTGGAACGTTCTTGTGGCTCTTGGAGCATGTTGGGAGACATCTCCGGGTAATTATCCTTGGCTATGTTGGGCCATTTTGGAGGTCATCTTGGACTCTTTGAGACGCTCTTGTAGCCGTCTCGGGCCATTTTGGACGCTCCGACGCGTTGCGGAAGGCGCCTTCCAGGTCCAGGGTTGGGGGTGGGGGGAGGGGCAAACCACTCCCCGAAGGGGATGACAGGGGGTTGGAAGGGGTAGCTTTCTAGACAACCTACGCCCAGAGGGCTGGCAGGATTTTTGAAACGAACGCGCGCGGCGCGAAGACGAAAGCCATCTTTTTTGAAAGCCGCCTGCCTTCAATCCGTGAAGCTCTTGCACATTTTTCAAAACGAGTATGCCTGGCGCTAAAGCGAGAGCCGCTTTTTTGAATGCGACCCGCCGCGAATCCGCGAAGATTTTTTTTTGGGTGGGGAATTTCTTGAAACGAACGTGCGCGGCGCTAGGGCGACGGCCACATTGTGAAATGGTGGCCAGTATTTAGCTTCTAAGGCGAACCACCCGGTCCGCCCCTTCGACATGCTTCGGGGTGCGACAAGGAGGAGTTACTCTCCTGCACAGTTGTGTTCTAGAATTCGGACTGCTTTATATTCGTTCTTGGTTCGTTCGTGGTTCGTCGTCAACCTCCCTGGCTCTGGCCCCACCCGTTGGGCCTTTCGCTCCCAGTCCCAGTCCCCCTGTCTCTGGCCTTGGACCCAGCCGCCCCGCCTTGGCCCTGGACCCAGCCTCCTCTGCTGGCCCTGGCCCCAGCCCCCTTCGCCGTGGACCCCTTACTTTCGTTGGTGGTTCGTCGTCGCCCCCCTGGCTCTGGCCCCAGGTTTCAGACCCGGTCCCCTGGCCGTGGACCCAGCCTCCTCCCTGGCCTTGCCCTGTGGCCCTGGCCCTGGACCCAGCCTCCCCCCGTGCTTTGGCCCCAGACCGAGCCTCCGCTCTGGCACTGGTCCCAGTTCGTGGTTCGTTCGTGGATCGTCGTTGCTCCCCTGGCTCTGGCCCCCGTCTTCTGGTTGGGGCGAATCGCTTCGAGGAGGAGAGGCCAGAGCCAGGGAGACGACGACTAACCACGAACGAACCATGAACGAAGATAAGGGCCCTGGGCGAGGGGGGCTGGGACCAGGGCCAGAGGGGAAATTGGGTCCAGGGCCAGGGGCAGGGGGCAGGCTGTGTCCAGGGCCAAGGCCAGGGGGCTGGGACTGAAGCCAGGGACCAGACCTCTGGTCTTGGTCCCAGTCCCAGCCCCTTGGCTCTGGACCCAGCCCCCCCCTCCCCCCGCGATGGGTTCAGATCCCAACCGGACGCGTGAGATCCCAACCGGACGGTTCAGATCCCAACCGTCTAAAACACCAGGCACGGTCAGATCCCAACCGAGGAGGAAGCGAATACAGAACACATATTGAAAAGTTACCATACTTGTTCATTGCTATCTGAAATTGCGATGTGAGTTATTGCGGTTGGGATCTTGCGCGTTTTTTGATGAATCGTAGCAGTGGTAGAAGTAGTGGTAGTAGTAGGAGTAGTAGTAGTAGTAGTAATCGTAGTAGTAGTAGTAGTAGTAGTAGTAGTAGTAGTAGTAGTAGTAGTAGTAGTAGTAGTAGTAGTAGTAGTAGTAGTAGTAGTAGTAGTAGTAGTAGTAGTAGTAGTAGTAGTAGTAGTAGTAGTAGTAGTAGTAGTAGTAGTAGTAGTAGTAGTAGTAGTACTAGTAGTAGTAATTAGTAAGTTAGTAGTAGTAGTAGTAGTAGTAGTAGTAGTAGTAGTAGTATAGTAGTAGTAGTAGTAGTGGTAGTAGTAGTAGTAGTAGTAGTAGTAGTAGTAGTAGTAAGTAATTGTAGTAGTGGTAGTATATAGTAGAAGAAGTAGTAGAATCGTAGTTGTATATTTATTATTAATTAGTAGTAGATTCCGTAGAAGTCCCGTGGTAGTAGTAGAGTAGTAGTTAGTAGTAGTAAAGCAGTAGTAGTAGTAGTAGTAGTAGTAGTAGTAGTAGTAGTAGTAGTAGTAGTAGTAGTAGTAGTAGTAGTAGTAGTAGGTATAGTAGTAGTAGTAGTAGTAGTAGTAGTAGTAGTAGTAGTAGTAGTAGTAGTAGTAGTAGTAGTAGTAGTAGTAGTAGTAGTCGTAGTCGGAGTAGTAGTCGTAGTAGTAGTAGTAGTAGTAGTAGTAGTAGTAGTAGTAGTAGTAGTAGTAGTAGTAGTAG